TAGACCCTTTTGTCGGAAGGTTCAACACACAGCTGCTGACCTTCGTGTCACCATCCCAGATTCACCGGCATGCGGTCACGACATGCTTCCCATGCCTCCTTCAAGACATTCGATAGTGAAAAATACATTCCTGAGTGCACTGACTAAGGTACAGAGCCTGTTACGTGTTGTTGCTACCACTTATTGTACTACATGAATGCAAACCTAAAACGGTATGTTTTCAATATATGTTTTATTATTCCATGACCATGGGTGGTTATTTACTGATTTCAATATTTAGTTCTGTACGTACCGATTTCTTGGGTAACCTCTGCACTTCAATCACCTACTGTTCACAATCACAATACTGTTCTTGCTTACAGGCTGATTTTGAACCAAATACTGAACCAGGCAGCATGTTTCTGCAGGCATCAAAGTGACTGGGTCTTCTCTGTTAAAGAAAATCGACAGATCTTGCTTCCGAACTGTCATCAAGCATATGCAATCGAAAGGACTGAAATAACTCCAACAGCCATCCATGCGGACATGGCGTCAACTTTAGGGCATGGGGATCCTTTCTTTGCCACTGATACAAGAGGGCACAGGAGTTCAAAGGAGTCCAATTCCGAGCTATACTGAATTTCATTACATTGTGGGTGTCATTTTTTGTGTGAAGTTTCAGCTTTATTGGTCTAGTGCCGTCTGAGAGCTCAGGTCAGAACGTAAAATATGTCGAAAAATGACTAATCCAAAGCGTCTTAACAAACTGTACCTTATCTGTACTGTGCCATTGTAATCAAAACATAACAGACCGATTCTCCTGACATCTGACTGTATTCCTGGCGTTATGTCTCTTGAATGTCTCCTTGGTCACAAAAAGTCCCGTCATCTCTGACTCGCCTCCAATCTTCACGACCTGGTCTCTGACCAGGGTTATTGCATGCACCTGGTATAGAGGAGGGTTGCTGTGTGCACCTTGTGTAGATGGGGTTGTTGTGTGCACACAATATAGAGGAGGGGTGTTGTGTGCACACAGTGTAGATAGGGTTGTTGTGTGCACACAGTATTGAGGAGGGATGTTGTGTGCACACAGTTTAGATAGGGTTGTTGTGTGCACCTGGTGTAGAGGAGAGTTGCTGTGTGCACCTGGTGTGGATGGGGTTGTTGTGTGCACCTGATGTAGGGGAGGGTCGCTGTGTGCATCTGATGTAGATTGTGCTGTTGTGTGCACACAATATTGAGGAGGGATGTTGTGTGCACACAGTGTAGAGAATGGTTGCTGTGTGCACCTGATGTAGAGGAGGGTTGCTGTGTGCATCTGATGTAGATTGTGCTGTTGTGTGCACACAATATTGAGGAGGGATGTTGTGTGCACACAGTGTAGAGAATGGTTGCTGTGTGCACCTGATGTAGAGGAGGGTTGCTGTGTGCATCTGATGTAGATTGTGCTGTTGTGTGCACACAATATTGAGGAGGGATGTTGTGTGCACACAGTGTAGAGAATGGTTGCTGTGTGCACCTGATGTAGAGGAGGGTTGCTGTGTGCACCTGGTGTAGATGGGGTTGTTCTGTGCACACAGTATTGAGGAGGGTTGTTGTGTGCACCTGGTGTAGATGGGGTTGTTGTGTGCACCTGGTGTAGAGGAGGGTCGCTGTGTGCATCTGGTGTAGATGGGGTTGTTGTGTGCACACAGTATTGAGGAGGGTTGCTGTGTGCACCTGGTGTAGATGGGGTTGTTGTGTGCACACAGTATTGAGGAGGGTTGTTGTGTGCACCTGGTGTAGATGGGGTTGTTGTGTGCACCTGGTGTAGAGGAGGGTTGCTGTGTGCATCTGATGTAGAAGGGTTTGTTGTGTGTACACAGTATTGAGGAGGGTTGCTGTGTGCACCTGGTGTAGAGGAAGGTCGATGTGTGCACCTGGTGTTGAAGGGGTTGTTGCATGCACCTGGTGTAGAGGAAGGTTGCTGTGTGCATCTGGTGTAGAAGGGTTTGTTGTGTGTACACAGTATTGAGTAGGGTTGTTGTGTGCACCTGGTGTAGAGGAAGGTTGTTGTGTGCACTTGGTGTAGATGGGGTTGTTGTGTGCACCTTTTGTAGAGGAGGGTTGCTGTGTGCATCTGGTGTAGATTGGGTTGTTGTGTGCACACAGTATTGTGTAGGGTTCTTGTGTGCACCTGGTATAGATGGGGTTGTTGTGTGCGCCTGGTGTAGAGGAGGGTTGTTGTGTCCACCAGGTGTAGAAGCGGTTTCTGTGTGCATTAGGCGTAGAAGGGGTTTCTGTGTGCATCTGATGTAGAAGTGATTGTTGTGTGCACATTGTGCAGTGGTGGTTGTTGTGTACATCTAGTGTTGAGGAGGGTTGTTCTGTGCATCTGGTGTAGAAGGGGTTGTGTGAATCTGGTGTAGAAGGGTTTTTTGTGTGCACCTGCCGTAGAGAGTTTTTTGTGTGCACCTGCCGTAGAGGGGGTTGTTGTGTGCATCTGGTGTAGAAGGGGTTGTTGCGTGCATCTGCTTTAGAGGGGGTTGTTGTGTGCACCTGGTGTAGAAGGGGTTGTTGTGTGCACACATTATTGAGGAGGGTTGCTGTGTGCACCTGGTGTAGATGGGGTTGTTGTGCACCTGGTGTAGAAGCGATCGCTGTGTGCACCTGGTGTAGAAGGGGTTGTTGTGTGCACACAGTATTGAGGAGGGTTGCTGTGTGCACCTGGTGTAGAAGGGGTTGTTGTGCACCTGGTGTAGAAGCGATCACTGTGTGCACCTGGTGTAGAAGGGATTGTTGTGTGCATCGGGCGTTGAAAGGGTTTCTGTGTGCATCTGGTTTTGAAGTGGTTGTTGTGAGCACCTTGTGTACAGGTGGTTGTTGTGTGCATCTAGTGTTCAGGGTGGTTGTCGCGTGTATCCAGTGTCGAAGGGGTTGTGTGCATCTGGTGTAGAAGGGGTTCTGTGAATCTGGTGTAGAAGGGATTTTTGTGTGCACCTGCTGTAGAGAGGGTTGTTGTGTGCATCTGGTGTAGAAGGGGTTGTTGAGTGCATCTGCTGTAGAGAGGGTTGTTCTGTGCATCTGGTGTAGAAAGGGTTGTTGTGTGCACACAGTGTAGAGGATGTTTGCTGTGTGCACCTGGTGTAGATTTGCTTGTGTGCACACAGTATTGAGGAGGGTTGCTGTATGCACCTAGTGTAGAAGAGGTTGTTGTGTACACACAGTATTGAGTAGGGTTGTTGTGTGGACCTGGTTTAGAAGGGGTTGTCGTGTGTACCTGGTGTAGAGGAGGGTTGTTGCAAGATCCTGGTGTAGAGGATTGTTGCTGTGTTCACCTGTTGTAGATTGGGTTGTTGTGTGAAAACAGTGTAGAGGGTTGTTGCTGTGTGCACCTGTTGTAGATTGGGTTGTTGTGTGCACCTGGTGTAAACATGGTTGTATTGTGCATCTGGTGTAGATGGGGTTGTTGTATGAACACAGTATTGAGGAGGGTCGCTGTGTGCACCTGGTGTAGAAATGGTTGTTGTGTGCACCTGGTGTAGAAGGGGTTGTTGTGTGCATCTGGTGTAGATGGGGTTGTTGTGTGCATCTGGTGTAGATGGGGTTGTTGTGTGAACACAGTATTGAGGAGGGTCGCTGTGTGCACCTGGTATATTTTTTGGTTGTTGTGTGAACACAGAATTGAGGAGGGTCGCTGTGTGCACCCGGTGTAGAAGGGGTTGTTGTGTGCATCTGGTGTAGAAATGGTTGTTGTGTGCACCTGGTGTAGAAGGGGTTGTTGTGTGCATCTGGTGTAGATGGGGTTGCTGTGTGCATCTGGTGTAGATGGGGTAGTTGTGTGAACACAGTATTGAGGAGGGTCGCTGTGTGCACCTGGTGTAGAAGGGGTTGTTGTGTGCACCTGGTGTAGAAATGGTTGTTGTGTGCACCTGGTGTAGAAGGGGTTGTTGTGTGCATCTGGTGTAGATGGGGTTGTTGTGTGCATCTAGTGTTCAGGCTGGTTGTTGTGTGTATCTGGTGTAGAAGTGGTTGTGTGCATCTGGTGTAGAAGGGATTTTTGTGTGCACCTAGTGTAGAGGTGGTTCTTGTGTGCATATGTGCAGAAGTGGCTGTTGTGTTCATCTAGTGTCGAGGAGGGTTGTTCTGTGCATCTGGTGTACAAGCGGTTGTGTGCATCTGGTGTAGAAAGGGTTTTTGTGTGCACCTGATGTAGAGGGGGTTGTTGTGTGCATCTGGTGTATAGGGCTTGTTGTGTGCACCTGGTGTTGAGGGGGGTGTTGAGTGTATCTGGTGTAGAGGGGTTGTTGTGAGCACCTGTTGTAGAGGGGGTTGTTGTGTGCATCTGGTGTATAGGGCTTGTTGTGTGCACCTGGTGTTGAGGGGGGTGTTGAGTGTATCTGGTGTAGAGGGGTTGTTGTGAGCACCTGTTGTAGAGGGGGTTGTTGTGTGCATCTGGTGTATAGGGCTTGTTGTGTGCACCTGGTGTTGAGGGGGGTGTTGAGTGTATCTGGTGTAGAGGGCTTGTTGTGAGCACCTGGTTTTGAGGGGGGGGGTGTTGAGTTCATCTGGTGTAGAGGGTTTGTTGTGTGCACATGGTGTTGAGGGGGATGTTGAGTGCATCTTGTGTTGAGGGGGTTGGTGTATGCATCTGGTGTATAGGGGGTTGTTGTGTACACAGAGTGTACAGTGGGGTTGGCATGTGTACACCTGCTGTTGAGTCGGGTTGTCGAGTGTATGCTGTAAAGATGAGTGCTGTTGTGTTCCACCGATGAAGGAGTTGATTCTGGTGAAGAGTTGGGTGATGTATGGAATGTTCTGTCCCCCATCTTATATATATTCCTTATGTTGTATCCCTAGTACCGCCGACATCACAAGAAAGGCCGCACATAATAACTAGGCAATTCAGTACAAAACGAACCACGAAGCAGACCCCACAACATTCAAATAGTGCAGTAACCCTAACCTCAGTCAGTCACGGGTGGGAGAACCCTCTCGCTCCCTTTGCGGATCAGACTGAAACCTAAACTCCTGTTGCCGCTCAGTCAGCTCGACCCAATAGGTGTAGCACAGGGATGTATCTTGATAGCGTGTCGGGCAGATCCTTCCCAGCCATGGAGGGCCGTAGACGTCTTCTTCTACTGGTGCTGGGGATGTCAGTTTTCACTGCGGTAAGTAGATCAGTACTGATATGCTCCCTAGTTGTCTTCCTTTGTTTCTCTGAACGAGGAAGGTGAACATTTCGAACTGGGTATTAAATAGCTAACTTTTTTCTCGGATTATTATTTATATATTTAGTTCTATTCTTTCAACATCATGTATTATTATGCCACAAAGTGAGTGAGTAACAGTCATTTTGGATTTTACAACACCTACATCACATATATTTCATTGAAATTCTGGTACAGATATTCGTAATTCGACACATATGTACTGGTGCTGTCGTTTATACCGTTGTAAGTGTCAGGTTTTCATTTGAAATGACATGTGCAACAAAGATACCAAGACGCCTGCTAATATTGTTATGCCTTAAAGTGAGATTGACCAATCAGAGATCAGAACTACTAACCACATATGAGCCCGTTTACCGTCAGTTCAAATCTAAGATGGTTGTAACGGACCTTATATGAGACCGTAAACCATCAGTAACAGCCATTTCGTTATTCGACACTGTTTTGTGTTTTAATATCATTAATTGTGTTGTGAAAAGACGTTAATTTTTAAAGAAACCACGTTTGGGAGCTCATTCATAAAACTCATAGAGAAAAAAAGCTTAACCCCCTGGATGCTAGAGGAACATATTCTTTATGTCCCTCCTCTTCAACACCCACTTTGAAGTCGAGTAAAATTCAAAATACATCACGCACACAGATACACTTCTCAGTGTTGAATATTGTGGGAAAGTATCTTTTCTGTGACATCATCCACTGGCATTTTAGGCCAAGCAAAAGTACTGATCACGGGTATCTGTCTCTTATCAAATCAGCAATGATCAATCCAAAACGTCGCTGATTAACCTAGAATCGTTTAGGATGTTTATGAAAATAGGCAAATACGAACGCCGAAGTGAACTTTCTGGCATATTGGATAGAGTTTACGAAATCATGTTTCCGCACACCGGTTATGAGACGCCTGTAACATCACGTATATGTCAAACACAGCTGCGATACAAACATCCGTGAAGTCCACATACACTTTAGAATCAAATGACAAGTGGTCTTTGTTACCAATACATAGGGTCTAGATGAAATCAAGCAAAATAAATTAGGTGTGAAAATGAACGCTGTGCGTAAACAAAGCAAAGTTCTGATTTTACACAGTGTAGCATTTTCTCCTAAATTTTTCTGCTCGTTTCATACATTGGCTCAACATTTTCAGAATATGCATGGGAGGAGAATCGTAGGAAGAGTTAGGGAAATAGAAATAGAAAAATTACAAGGAATTGATAAATTCAACAGAAATAGTCAAAGTTCAGTCCTCCCTGACGCCATGACTGACGCAAAATCACGCATCAACGACAACGGTATTTATCGGAAATTCTTACAATTTCTCTTGGTTTCAATTAAAAATATAACAACAAATAACAGTACACAGATTGTCAGAATGTTTCTGATTACTTACATGTCACATTCATGTAAATACTATCCTTGAATCAACGAAAGTCCCTTCGTAAATTTCTTTGAGGTGAAGGTCCTTGAATGAAAGTAGACACGATCATTGTATCCTGCTGTGGACAGTTTCAATTATGATGTTGATTTTGCATATATTTTTTTAATGAACAGCCGTTTAATTTCATGTTAGAACTACAAGTGAATATATTACTTTAACAGAATGGATACTATTTTCTGTTAAAATATGTTCACATTGTTAAAAGAATTGTCTTGGTCTTGGAATTGTTTTTCATTTCGTTATTGATATACAGAAAGGTGATACCCATAACGACACGTACACCAGATGCGCGTTTTAGTCACAAACGATTTACGAATTATTCCTCTCGTTTTGTATTATATAATCAATGGGTTCACCCTTTTTTTAAATATTGTGATCACAGGATTTTGAACTGTTTACTTTATTTCTCCAAGAATTGTGAAAAGTATAAAAAGTATAAACCGTGTCACTACCCCGTTGGTCGAGCCTGATACGATTCTCCTGATAATTTCAAACCAAAGGAATATTCTTCGCATCTTTTATTGTCGGATTCAGAGACGAGATGAAGAGCAGAAATCATATACACATATCTATTTATTTATATATTCAAGAAATTATTTACATTGTAAAAGCAGTCATTTTATGTTGTATCGAAAAAGCTTCAAATTCCGTTTTAAACATCGATATTTTCCATACCATGAACGAAAAGCAGGGGAGATTTATATCAATCATACCAGTGTCATCCTTCTCCGACGTTGTCAAAGCCATAAAACCAGCCATGACGTCTAATAGAATGGTGTCATTTATTTTATAGTTATTAATTACATTTGATGATAAGGCTAGTGCTCCATTAATAATGGTGCAGCAGTAGTCAAATTACACTTGCACGGTCAGGAGAATTTTGGAATCAAAGGACTAATTTATAGGTCAGATAGGGCCATCTATTTCGCTTATAATTTCTCTTTTATGAAGTACGATTTAATCATTTCTTATGGGTTTGTTTATACCTAAACATATACAGTTTCAATATCGATATTTGTGTTCGAATAGCTTAGTTCCGCGTGAACACATCACCACGAAAATATATTGTCCTTATCCACAGCTTATTCAAATGTGATTTTCTCCAGTGTGACGTTCTGTCGTGTAATGTACTCCTTGGTAATGTAATCCAGTGTGATGTACTCCTGTATACTTAACAGTAATGTACACCAGTGTGATGTACTCCAGTGTATTTCACAGTAATGTACTCCAGTGTGATGTACTCCAGTGTGATGTACTCCAGTGTGATGTACTCCTGTATACTTAACAGTAATGTACTCCAGTGAGATGTACTCCTGTGTACTTCAAAGTAATGTACACCGGTGTGTTGTACTCCAGTGTGATGTACTCCAGTTTGAAGTACTCCGGTGTTAAGTACTCCGGTGTGATGTACTCCGGTGTTAAGTACTCCAGTGTGATGTACTCCGGTGTGATGTACTCCGGTGTGATGTACTCCAGTGTGAATTACTCCTGTGTGAAGTACTCCGGTGTGATGTACTCCTGTGTGAAGTACTCCAGTGTGATGTACTCCGGTGTGATGTACTCCAGTGTGATGTACTCCAGTGTGATGTACTCCGGTGTGAAGTACTCCAGTGTGATGTACTCCAGTGTGATGTACTCCGGTGTTAAGTACTCCAGTGTGATGTACTCCGGTGTGAAGTACTCCGGTGTGATGTACTCCGGTTTGAATTACTCCTGTGTGAAGTACTCCGGTGTGATGTACTCCGGTGTGATGTACTCCAGTGTGATGTACTCCAGTGTGATGTACTCCGGTGTGAAGTACTCCGGTGTGATGTACTCCAATTTGAAGTACTCCGATGTGAAGTAGTGCGAAGTACTCCGGTGTGAAATACTCCAGTGTGATGTACTCCATTGCGAAGTAATGTGAAGTACTCGGGTGTGATGTACTCGGGTGTGAAGTACTCCGGTGTGAAGTACTCCAGTGTGAAGTACTCCGGTGTGAAGTACTCTAGTGTGAAGTACTCCGGTTTTATATACTCCAGTGTGATGTACTCCAGTGTGAAGTACTCCAGTGTGAAGTACTCCGGTGTGAAGTACTCCGATGTGAAGTACTCCGGTGTGATGTAGTGTGAAGTACTCCGGTGTGAAGTTCTCTGGTGTGAAGTACTCTAGTGTGAAGTTCTCCGGTGTGAAGCAGTGTGAAGTACTCCGGTGTGAAGTACTCCAGTGTGAAGTAATCCAGTGTGAAATACTCCAGTGTGAAGTACTCCGGTGTGAAGTACTCCAGTGTGAAGTACTCCGGTGTGAAGTACTCCAGTGTGAAGTACTCCTGTGTGATATACTCCTGTGTGAAGTACTTCAGTGTGAAGTACTCCGGTGTGAAGTACTCCGGTGCGAAGTACTCCAGTGTGAAGTACTCCGGTTTGAAGTACTCCGGTGTGAAGTACTCCGGTGTGAAGTACTCCAGTGTGAAGTACTCCAGTGTGAAGTACTCCGGTGTGAAGTACTCCAGTGTGAAGTACTCCGGTGTGAAGTACTCCAGTGTGAAGTGCTCCGGTGTGAAGTAGTGTGAAGTACTCCGGTGTGAAGTACTCTGGTGTAAAGTACTCCGGTCTGAAATACTCCGGTGTAAAGTACTCCGGTGTGATGTACTCCGGTGTGAATTACTCCTGTGTGAAGTACTCCGGTGTGAAGTACTCCGGTGTGAAGTACTCCGGTGTGAAGTAGTGTGAAGTACTTTGGTGTGAAGTACTCCGGTCTGAAATACTTCGGTGTGAAGTACTCCGGTGTGAAGTACTCGGTTTGAACTACTCCGGTGTGAAGTACTCGGTTTGAACTACTCCGGTGTGAAGTACTCCGGTGTGAAGTACTCCAGTGTGATGTACTCTTTTCGGCAATACTCGAAGTCACCGCATGACTGTTGGCAGTGATAACACCACCCTATAAACACCCGGTGTTGGGGAGAACTTGTGGCGTGATACGAATACAACAAATTCTTTTTTAAACTTCAGAGTAAGTTATCCTTCAATTTATCTGCCAGTTACCAGTTTCAATCCCCGCACACCGCGACCTCTCTGATCCCTTTTGTGCCTCTGCGTGTCACATGATTTTGCAATTTTGTATCAGATGTATGCCACTTGGAATACCGAGGATCATCGCCTGCGCCTATTCTGAGTATGTTGCTTTCATGACCCAAACCACACATCCATTCACTGAATTCCTGTAATCTTCAGTGACTTTTCTGGCCCCAATGCATGCATTGGGACAAACCATGATACGTTTGACCCAAATGAAAAGGTCTGTATTTGTGATGAGGAAAACGTATCTAATACCCATTCAAGGTGGCACATAAGAATGTATCTATAAATACATGTTAGTTAGTATAAGTGTTCTTAAATTCAGCTCCATTTTTATAGGTATGTTTGAATGTGTCTAAACTGAACTGGAAAAGAAACTTGTCACGTGACCTATCAGACGTTTGACATTTTCCGCCCGACGCAGAGTCTTTGCATGTATGGAAGCA